TTTAGATAGAACAAAATGAATTTTTGTTAATTATTCAATAACTATAAGAAATATACCCCACAAACTATATATATTTGTTATCAGAAGAAAATAACAAATTATTTTAAGTCATAGCCAACTATGGTTTCCATTTAAAAAAATAAAGTTACGTCTAAAATCTCGAAAATAAAAGATGGGAAAAAAATTCTACCTACGCCACTGAATTCTTCGTAAAAAGTTGCCCATATAATGTTTTATTTATAATACTCCATCTTTGATAATAAGTGAGATATTCGCGATTGTCGTTTTCGCAAAATTTTCAGTTTTTGCCGATAGGGCGAAAACAAAAGACGATAGCTGTTCGGAGTTTTCGGCATTAGCATTTTCTCGAAAAACGAGATCATGACATGTAAGCTACTTTTTTTCTATCTCTTTTAGTTTCGGAGATAGCCTATGCGGACATCGAAATTGGGACACCTGTACATCAAACATTTTTTTCAGGTGAATATATTTTGTCTTTGAAAGTTTCTAGTTGTCAATTCAAAGTTTCTATTTTCAAGTGTTCCGATGTTACCAACTGCTACATACCTATTTCCCTACATTGTCAAAATTTATTTTAATTTTGGGAAAAAAAAGGATAAAAACGCGAATTACAAAAAATAGCATAAAAAACACGTTTCATAAGACTTAAAGCACTCATCATTCATTAAAAAACTCGTGGCTTCGCCACTCGTTTTTCAATTTAAATTCGTGCACCTCAAACGTGTCTTACGAAACTTGTTTTTTAATATACTATTTTAACACCTTCCATCTGTAAAGGTGGGTCTTTCAGGTCCGGCCGTTTTTTCATCCTGTTAATGCACTCAAAAATTTTTATAAACAATTCATGATAATTTTCGAAACCTTCAACTTGATAAATCAATCATAAAATTAATTTTTGCATCCATATTTTTTTATACAAATGAAGAAATTATTTACCTAAACAGTTGTAGTTCAGACAGGAAATACCCAGGTTTACAGAGGAAGGGTTAATTTAATACACCCTACTAATAATACTTTAAAAAAGGTACCAATAATGTATTATTTAAAAGAAAAATATTTATTGTTTTGAAACTTTATTGGTTACAAATGTTGAACATTAAGAAAAATTTCGACGTTTACATGTGCACGAAATACACGAAATACCTCTATTACTGTGGCTCACATATATTATCATTTTTTGATTCATTATTTTTTTTTTTTTTCGTTATCCTGAAACTCTTGAAACACTATATTTAAACGAATGACCATTGGTCAAACTGTTACCGTTTTACACTTTCTAAACACTAACAAACGAAAAAAATAAGAAAACCTCTTATAAACTAGAAATACACGGTAGGTAGGTCTTGAAATCTTAACTAAACGAGGAAACTTGTATCTTGTACAAGATAAAAATAAATTTAGTACTAAAGTCCTTATTCTTCATCAAGGAGTCCAAAAATGATATAAGATTAAAAAATAGAAATCAACATATTACCGGGAATATCGTCAAAGGGTGTTGCTTCTTGAAGTGAATTATTTAACTTACGAAATGATTTTTAAGGTACTTCATCATACCAAACGTGCGGAAACGTTTAACTCCGATTACCTTATATAGAGCATCGTCACAAATGGCGTACTGCTTATTATGTGGATCGTAGAGATCCCTTTCTTTTATAATAGCCCATACTTTTTTGACAACTTCATGACGTGCCATTGCGTCTTGTCCTACTAAAGCTGCCAATTCAGGGGACAAATTTAAAGTTTTCGTGTATCCTTTTCCGCCTCCTCCTCCTTTCTTAGCTCCACCTTTCTTGGATTTACCCCAATCTTCATCAGAATCTGACTCAGAACCCTTCTTTTTTTTAGGAGGCAATTTACGTGTTTTTGCCGGTTTAGTTTTTTTTGGCGAATATTCTTCTTCTGAATCACCATCTGATGGTTCACTTGCTTCAGAATCATCTGATGTTTTCTTCTTTTTTGCAGCTGGTTTTTTACCGGCACTCGCCCGCTTATTTGGTTTTTTATCTTCTTCAGATTCTCCTTCCTAACAAAAAAAAAATGATGTTATTTAAATTTATATTTCAGCTTGATTAATCAAAAGAAATAAGATAACTTCATCTAACAAAGCCGAAACCTGAAGCGGAACAAAATGATGACCTGCCTCAGATTGATATAATCTTAATCAGAGGTTGGGCCTAATTAGTCATAAGATATGTAACTTTACTTGGTAAAGCTGAGGCTGCTTGTGGCCAAGGCGGTACAATATGATGACCTGCCTCAGGTTGATACAATGTTAATCAGAACCTTGGGTTAATTAGTTATAAGTAGTGATGGGGAAATAATTTACCCTTTTGTACCCATGGTGTTTAATAATCGTTTTTTCGTCTTATATGTGTTGTGGAACTTTTACAGAATGGAAAGAGTCAAGAGTGCCAATTTGGGACCTGTTTGATAATGAGCTTGGTAATCAAGTAACTTTGGAAAGTACTTTGGCAATGTCAATAAACTTACAATAATCTTACACAAACTACATAGTACTCGTGCCAAGGCTATACAGGGTCGCTGATATGTATGGAAGCAATCAGTTATCTCCTAAAATAAGATAGCTAGCAAAAAATATCAAGATACAAACGTTTTAGTGTTTTTTAAAATCCATTACAATAACGACAAATTAAATATACAGGGTCAGTCAAAAAATTATGACGACACAAAGTTACGTTTTCTTTAATGGAACATCCTGTATATTATTCCATGTTTCGATTCATCTTGAAATTCTAAACAAAATTCATGTAGCACATCATAGGCCTAAACTAACCTTATTTTGGATACAAAATAAGAGACGCAATCGTCTTGAAAGTGAAAGAGCAGGAAAGCTGACACATATTGCGTACAATTGGAAATTAAATAACAATATATCAGTAAAAATGGTAAAGAATCTGATGCAGACAGATAGAGAATTTTTGGAAATTGGTGACTGAATCAGAATTAGAAGATCTGTAGATTTTAAAATAGCTTTTTGTGAATATTAAAATAAAGATCAATAAATGTTATAGATCAGTGGTGTCCACTAATTATATAAATGTCTTGCCAAGATCGACCGAATGGTTTAAAGTAACCTTCCTTTTTTTTGCCCTGAGGCCCAGATATAGATATTTCAGATTCATGATTTTCTTAGCGATCGACGTTATGGCCACCACTGATTTAGAGCTTATAAATAAAAAATAGTAATAATTGAGTTCAATCTTTTTATGGGTCTAGTCTTTATGGTCCATTACTAAGGTTTTATGTATAAAAAGTTTTTCCCCATCGCTGTTATTTTATGAGTTATGATTGAGTTATTTTTTGAAAATCAACAATTTTGATGTTTAATCGACTTAGAGCTTATAAATAAAAAATGGTAATAATTGGGTTCAATCTTTTTATGGATCTAGTCTTTATCGCCCATTACTAAGATTTTATGTATAAAAAGTTTTTCTCCATCGTTTTTAGTTTTTGAGTTACGATTGAATTAATTTTGAAAAATCAACAATTTTGATGTTTAATCGATTTAGAGCTTATAAATAAAAAATGGTAATAATTGGGTTCAATCTTGTTATGGATTTAGTCTTTATGGCCCATTACTAAGGTTTTATGTATAAAAAGTTTTTCTCCATCGCTTTTAGTTTTTGAGTTATGATTGAGTTAATTTTCGAAAATCAACAATTTTGATGTTTAATCGATTTAGAGCTTATAAATAAAAAATGGTAATAATTGGGTTCAATCTTGTTATGGATTTAGTCTTTATGGCCCATTACTAAGGTTTTATGTATAAAAAGTTTTTCTCCATCGCTTTTAGTTTTTGAGTTATGATTGAGTTAATTTTCGAAAATCAACAATTTTGATGTTTAATCGATTTAGAGCTTATAAATAAAAAATGGTAATAATTGGGTTCAATCTTGTTATGGATTTAGTCTTTATGGCCCATTACTAAGGTTTTATGTATAAAAAGTTTTTCTCCATCGCTTTTAGTTTTTGAGTTATGATTGAGTTAATTTTCGAAAATCAACAATTTTGATGTTTAATCGATTTAGAGCTTATAAATAAAAAATGGTAATAATTGGGTTCAATCTTGTTATGGATTTAGTCTTTATGGCCCATTACTAAGGTTTTATGTATAAAAAGTTTTTCTCCATCGCTTTTAGTTTTTGAGTTATGATTGAGTTAATTTTCGAAAATCAACAATTTTGATGTTTAATCGATTTAGAGCTTATAAATAAAAAATAGTAATAATTGGGTTCAATCTTGTTATGGATCTAGTCTTTATCGCCCATTACTAAGGTTTTATGTATAAAAAGTTTTTCTCCATCGCTTTTAGTTTTTGAGTTATGATTGAGTTAATTTTCGAAAATCAACAATTTTGATGTTTAATCGATTTAGAGCTTATAAATAAAAAATGGTAATAATTGGGTTCAATCTTGTTATGGATTTAGTCTTTATGGCCCATTACTAAGGTTTTATGTATAAAAAGTATTTCCCCATCGCTTTTAGTTTTTGAGTTATAATTGAGTTAATTTTCGAAAATCAACAATTTTGACGTTTAATCAATTTAGAGCAGTAGTGTCCACTAATTTTTGATCAAAATCGACCTTTTATGTAAATGTCTTGCCAAGATCGACCTAAGGGTTTAAAGTAACGTTCCTTTTTTTGCTCTGAGGCCCAGATATACAGGGTGATTCAAAAAACCACAAAATTAGCAGTGGAGTTGAAAATATTTTTAAAAAAGGGCTTTTTATTGAAGTCTGTCAGCGGTTTTTTGAATCACCCTGTAGATGAACTTATTATTTTTGTTGTTATCTATACCTACTTAAGCAACAGAAACTCGAAATTAGAACTTCTGAATAAACGCCCAATTTTAGGTATATACTGGATAAATACCCAGAGGTAAATACCACAAATATAAATGCGGGATAACTTCCCATCACTAGTTATAAGATCTACAACTTGGTAAAACCGAGGCGTAACAAATTGTAACCAGTTTTAGGTTGATATAATCTTAATTACTGAGTTTCACAAACAGCCTCAACTTAACTAGTCAAAAGATCTACAACTTTATCTGATACAGCCGAGGCTGAAACTACTTAAGACATTGAATAACTTTAAACATGCAAATTAATTTCTTATACAGTAACTGTTTTATCTTTTTTCAAAAATTCAACAATATAAAAAAAAATATCACAAAATGATTAACCTTGCTATGAGCTAAAGTCCATTGAATTGCAAATGAAAACTACCTAATTATATTTTCTTATCATAACCTTTCTGACTAATGAGTAGATAAAATTAAGAGAGATGTAATAATTAAATAAATTTAATAAAAGAAACTGGCAACATATTTTACCTCCTCCTCCTCCTCCTCGTCTTCTTCCTCTTCCTCCTCCTCAGACTCAGTCTTCTTCTCTGGTTTTTTCTTGTCCATTGAGCTTACCAATTCCATAACTATATTGTCGATTTCCTTCTTTCTCGATTGTAATTTAACCCCCAATTTATCTTCGAGCTGTTGCCTGACCGTTTTGGCTGATGTCGAAGCTAGGTCGGCGTCCTTAAGGATAACTAAGTACCGTGTAAACGATAAGTGTTAGTATATATTAAAACACAAATTCACCAAACACAAAACGATAATTATTACGGTTTTTTTTTTAGTGGGTAGTTGTTTAAATAAACGGTTTTTCGACGTCGATTTGTTCTAGAAACACAGCGCGCGTCGTTGGTGAAGTGTATGCGTAGGGGAGAGTGCAAGAGACGCGATCGAAATCACCACCAACGTGAAATGTAAAAGGGCGCGCTTATTTAAAATTTGAATTCAATCATAACCTAAAAAATTTAATTTTGACGTTAATAATTTTTTTTTTTTGGTTATGTTTTGAGTTTGATTAAAAAAAAAGTAAATTAAATCAAAAATGATTAATAAATAAATAAATGGGTTTAATTTAATTTTTATTTAGGATTAAATAGATACGGTAGTCGAAACGGTAATCGACTTAAAAATGAAAAAATGTTTAAATACGGCTAAATCGGGGGAGATAAAGTCCTACGTAAATCAGAAATAATTATTTACATCGATTTTGTTAGAGTAATTTTCAATTAAACGGTGTAAATACAGAGATATTTGCAAAAATATTGTGGTGTAAATACATGGCTGGTATACGGAGCGTCCTACAGCCATTGTTTGTATATTGGGTCTAACATAGTATCGTCATAACCCGTACAACTATACTAGTAAAATGGTCGATTTCGATTGTAAACCGTTGAAAATCCATTTAGGAAAACTGTTTAGAAAAAAATTACGAACCTAATTTCCCCTATTAATATGCCCGAAAGGTTTCAAACGTTAAAAATATGAACACTTACCGGTAATTTCCTTGCGAAGGTCCTCTTTTGAGATGTCTGCCATGTTGATGAAGCGAGATACGTATCGTTTGGAGAAAGACGGAAAACTAAATGTCGTTGAACGTCGAGGCACACTCGGATCTCGTCGAATGCATTTTGAATACCCCTACTCCAATTATTATTTCGCGTTGCCTTTTACCTGGTACAAAATATATACCCGTAAACAGATATACATCCCTTTTCTATTATGATACTCTCTATACCTGGAACTACCGTTTCTTTACTCCCAAACGTATATTTTTTACCTTTCATTTTAATCGATACAGTTTTAAGTTAGCTTAAAAATTAGGAAACAAAAAGTTTGTTACGCATTACGACCCCTAAAAGTTTTTAGTCTCAGGGACAAAAACCTTCCTCGTGTTCCTGGAAGTTTGTAACACTTGTATGTAGGTTGGAATAAATAATCAATACTAATTTAATTTGTGTAACTGACACATTAAAAATTATAAGATAAGAATTATTATTAAAGTTAAGAATACTTTGTATTGATCTTGACAATATTTTCTTATCTTTCGACCTCAACGGCTTATTTGTAGACTTTATTTAAGATTCAATGACCGACATAACTGATACAATATTTTTATACAATATTTTTCAATACCTACAGAAATTTAAAATAGTCTCTTTTTTTAATCTAATTATAAATCTTTGTTATTAATTGCCAACCAAATCAGTTTTATCATTAAATAATATTATTTATAATAATTACTGTAAAGATATTACAATTTAAATAAAATGGTAAAATTAGCGCCATCTATGATGCAATAGCGGAACTAAACAAATAAATACAGATGTTATTTAATCTTTCAAAACATGCAGTTTGTCAGTTTTTGCAATTTAAAATTTGTAACCTGGACTACGGAAAGGGTGTTTAGGTGTCAAGAGGTCGATTTTGAGATTTGAATCATTCTAATAGCGTAAAAATAAGGTCTTTTCAACGAACTTAACCTCAGTTTCGCAACTATCTTCGTGGCTGAGTTATTTGCATCGAACGTTTAATGTCTTTAAATTAGAAAGGTAAAATCTAAAATTTAATTTTAGATTTTTTTTTCGTAGAAATAAAATTAAATTTCCGTAGTCCAGGTCACATTTAGATTTTGCACTAGCGACACAGAAATGATCGTCGGACAAAAGATGGCGCTAGTTAGATGTTATTAAATTTAAAATATATTAATTATTTAATTTATAAGCTTTTCGCTACACGCACCGGACTGTCAGTCCGGATTTTAAGCGCCATCTATTAGTGTTATTTCGAACTTGCCCTGACCATAAATATTTTGATGAATTTCTTTCTTACCGACATTTTGTTATCTGTCAATGTATCGTTAATGTCAAGTGTTGAGTTTGGTTTCTATTTCAAAATCGGTTATTTCGAAAACATGAGTTATAACGAAGAAAGGAACAAAAACTTATTGTTCAATAATGAGGAGGAAGAGGATGAAAACCTATTATTGGACAACAACGTTTCAGAATATGAAGATGAAGAAGATGAAAATGAAGAAGACGATTTGAAGGAGAGAAGCGATAATTCGGACACTGAACAAGATATTTGTGATGATGAAGATTTATCGGAAGAAAATAATCATTTTTTTACTTTAAAAAATGGCATGTTATCAAAATGGAAAAAAATATGTCCAAGCTGGAACTAAAACTAAAACTAACAAGTGTCCACTTGGAACCTGTTTCTGAAGAATGTTGCAACATTGCATCCAAAACTAAGCTATCTAACAGTTGTTTCCAAGTCATCATGAGTACTATACTCTAATCATGATAAATTATTTAATAATAATTATCTAATCATTTTATTTCAGATAAAAGATAGCATGGTTTTATCTTAACACTGTCTACTTAATTAAATGCTGAAAGTAAAACCCTTTTTATGTCTGGCAGTACCCCAAATTATTGATAAATTCATGCCAGACCCTAATAATTGTTTCTTTACTAAGTTGTCAAGCGACTCCAGTTTGATTGAATTGATCCATGCCTTTTAATCTATCATAACGAGGTGGTGCGCCATCTTTCATGAACCATAAATTTTCGTCATGTAACAATCGTATCTGGCAGAATATTAAAAACCTATTACTTAGTACTCCACCATTCACAGGAATTAGCATCTCTTTTAGGTGTTGGACACTGCAGATAATAATCAAGTTCAACCCCAACAGGACTTTTTTCATTGACTACACCTTTATTTATATCAGGTTTGTCATTAGCAACCTCATTGTAACAATCTTTATTATTAAAAGTATCCTCTTTTTCATGCAAAAAGCCGTTTTGAAAAATCGCTTTTAGTTTTTGAGAAATAAATTTTTGAAATGATCGACAATTTTTTCGTATTTTGCAATTTTCGCCGATTAAGTTTTAAAAATTCGCATAAAATCTACTTCTTGGAATATGAGTATGAAAATTTCCCAAAATGTTAATTAAAGTGTCCTCTTTCCAAGGAACCAACCTGTTTTGAAAAATAACTTTTAGTTTTTGAGAAAACAATATTTGAAGTTTTGATAAAATTTTCGATGTCAGCTTTCTTATTAATTTCATTTTTATTCAAATATCGCAATAATGTGGCAATATAGGGTATCACTTCAGAAATGCGCCAGAAATTATAACCATAATGGCAGGATAAATATGCCGAATATCCGGCTTTTCGCAAAATCACTATCCGTTCCATCACTAATAAAAATATAAAATTAAATATAGATTTCTTTACATCACAAATTATTTAGTTTGTAAGCTACTAGATGGCGCTAGAGATATCAACTGAAAGTTTTAAAGTGTTAGTGTAATGTATGTGTCGCAAGATGTCGCGTTCAAAAAGAAGGGTAACTATCGAAACGAAGCAAGAGGCAATTGTGTGCAGAAGACAAAGACAAGAATCGCGCTGCGTGTAGGAGAAAAAAACGACGAATGCGCAGCGGCGCGGACCGGTTTATTGGTTGGTGCTTCTTTCGTTTAGAGGTTGGGACAAGTTTTTAGTGAATGCAGTTTGCTGCCATGCAACTAAAACGATTTCGTTGTACCATGACCCGATTTTGAGTGCAGCCCGTACTAGCGGACGTGAAAACGTTGGGCCCGAATTGTTCCGATGCATTTTCACCTTGAAATTCTTTTGCGGTTTTCCTGGAGAAATATGAACGATTACTGCAACAACAAAAAAACTCGTTAATTTTTTTAGGTGTTTACTAGATTAAGTAAAAAAATTCACATGTTGGTAGTTTTAAGAACGAAAAAAAGATGTTTTAAATTTGATTAAAATTAAGATCAATTTTAAATTATAATTTGTCTTTTAAAATAGTTTTAAAGAACTAAACCAAAAAAATAAAAACAATAATTTAAAATATTGGTTACAAACAAAACATAAAAATTAGAAAATTAAAGTTTAGGTGTTTGTAAAGAGGAAGTAGGAGTGAATTTAGCGTCGGTGTATTGATTTTTTGGGTGGGCACCTTATCGTTGAAAAAAGGCAGAGTGGGCGTTGGTTTAAGAATCGGGATGCAGTTTAGGCGCCTGACGTCGGCGTCGTCCGGTTACCATGGCAACCTACTTGATTGATAGGGAAGCCACCCCGCTCTCTCTCTAACCTCCCCGGTGGCGGAGAACAAACACTTGTCGAATTTACGGACGGTGTCGCCCTCCTCCGATAACGGCACGAAACACGAAGCTGTCCAAGTGTTCCAGAGAAAATTAGTTTCGGGAAGAATAATGGGAATTTTCGGGAGCGCACAGTCTTTGTTCAATACTACGAATAGGGAAAAATAATCGACCTAGAGAAACCCTTTTCTCCCAAAGGGGTTCCATCGGTTTGTTATTTCAACAGAAGCACCTCAATTCTATTAATTATAGCAATAAGGAAAATAGTTATTTATGTACCAAAAATAATTAAATTTGGGAAACAAGTATTCTGGACACCAAACTTTATAACTTTCAGCTTGCAATTTTAACAATCAAGGCCATACAAGTATTATAGATATAATGCAAGCGCTGAAAGTTTCTTTGGAAGACACCAACATTCCTACATAGAAACTCGCAAAATTCTGCTTTTCACTAATCATTCTTATCTGTAACTGCCAAATCTAACAATTCACTACTAGTTCTCTAAGATTGGTTCTATCCAGATGGAACAAGAAGTCCTGTTCCACTAGGTTCCAGTTTGGCCATTTTCTTGAATGTTGAGAAATGTTTCAATTCATTTCTTCCACAAGTGAGGATGCTTGAGTCAACATGCATATACATCTAAAATTTTAGTAGATATCTAGCAAAAACTTGATGGAAGATGATAAGCTCCAAAGGAAATTTGGTCACAGTCTGTGATGCTATTTGATGCCATTTATGCACAACGGAGCTTAACAGTTCAGCACAAGCGAATGGATAACTTCTCACAATTTTCGCAAATCGGATATATTTGGTAGTTTTACATGTGGTTGGCGAAAAGTTTATGTCCTCGCCTTCCAGAACATCTAAAAAAATTGGAAAGAATTTCGTAGTTGACCAGAGGAAAAGGAGCAGACAAGAGAAGAAGGAAATGTGAAAACGATTCAAGTATACGATATGGACTGGGAAAGGGAGTCCTTTTTTTCGAAAGCAGCCTGCAGTAATGTATATAGCAATACGGGGCCATATTTGACAAGTTTCCAGTACATACAGCATTTCTTCTTCTCAAGTGCCAAAAATGAATTGGGTTGGTTTAAGAAAGTGGTAGAAGAGCACAAGGTGAATCTGTGGGGAAAACTGTTCTAGAGGGAGGTGAAGACCTTCCCCAAGCATTATGGAAGCTGTTTAAGAAGATAATAAGAGAAACAGAATCCAATTGCAGTACCATTCATATCTCTGCAAGAAATGCAGAAGCATTTGTAATTATGGTGGAAGAGATTAAATTAAAATTATAAACAAGGCTAAAAATGGAATTTGACTCACAACTTCTATAACTTATCGTAAAATTATAAAATATAAAAAAAAATATTGTAATATATAATTATCTTGTAGATATTGGCAAAAAAGTAAATAAATGATATCCATCTAAGCGTAAGTAGTCTAATGTTACCTTTCTTTATGAACCTTAAGTAAGTCAG